CAGGTTTGGTGAAAAACGTTGGAACGCATGTATTGTACCAGGAGGGAAGTAATTTAAAAGTGATGAAATATATTTAGAAGAACACATCAATATTTCTTTAATAATTTTTAACAACTTCATCTTATTTTTTGATCACAGTATTTTTACAAGAGGTTATAAATACGATTATAAAAAAAATTTATCGCAACTAACTTTTGGATCCAAAGCGAAAGGAATAACAGGTAGGATATGGCGGCAGATAATGAGATGAAGAAAATATATATTAACACGTGAACATTTTCGTGAGATAATTTTTCACAACTTTCGACGATGTATGGCGATGAAGCACCATCCTATAGCACTGTGAAAAACTGGTTTAATGAATTCAATCATGGCCGACGCTCGCTCAACGACGAATCCCGTCAACGTCGTCCAAAAACGGCCGTTGTGCCAGAGAACATTAATGCCGTGCGTAAACTTATAATGCAAGATCGTCATGTGACATACCGTGAGATAGAGGCATCCTTGAGCATTTCGAGCCAAATCCAACAAAAGTTGTTCGTGGAAAAAGCACTTCGAAGCAAATGCTCGCCTGTTTCTTCGGCAAAACTGGTCATGTGGTCTTAGGAGAAGTTCGAAAAACGAATAAGAGAAGACGAATAATTGTTTACCATGACATCGCGATGTCTCACACATCGGTTCTAACCAACGCCTTTTTGACCGGCCAAAACGTCGAATCGATGGGTCATCCGCCGTACAGCCCTGACTTGGCACCAATGACTTCTTTTTATTCCCGCACATCAAGAAAAAGATGCGTGGTCAACGATTTTCGTCGCCAGAAGATGCTGTTGAAGCGTTCAAAAACCATGTTTTGGAGGTGTCTCAATCGGAGTGGAAAAAGTGCTTCGACAATTGGTTTGAGCGCATGCAAAAGTATATAAATTAGGCTGGAGAATACTTTGAAAAACAATAAAACAATTTTTGATGATAAATATTCGCATTTTCATTATTAGGCCAGAAATATATATAGCAGCCCTCGTATATTGAGATCACGAGATTGAGTGTAAATATACTACATATGATATTTCTACATATAAACTATATTAATCAAGTTATAGCAATTTAAATGTAAGTATCAATCGCTTTATAAATTATTGATACCAAAAGTTATTGATACGTATTTCAAATGTTTTTTTAACGAATTATTTATTTTATCAAAAAAAAAAAAAGAAATGTGTGCAAATACAAGTGGAATTTGAATAAAATTTTATATAAGAAAATTTGCTTAAAATATTTATATTTACGTAAAAATATTGAACGTGAAAACAGATTAAATTACCAGAAAATAGAAACCGCAACATTTCATGAGCTCTATAGGTGTGCTCCAAAAATAATATTTGTCCTCCAAATCAAAAATACATGCGAATAAATGTACTTATAGTAAGTGGAGATGTTTAAAGCAAATTAAATTTTAGAAAGAACTTGATCTTCAAACATTAGATACGTGTAAATATATTTACAAAAACAAAAAAAAAATAGTAAAACTCTTCTCAACTATGAAAATATATCAATAATTATATTGCCTTGCTTTTAAAATACATTTTTTATGCTCTTCATATACATATAGTGTGTCACAAAAAATAGACATCGGAGATCCTATAAAATAAACACATCGTATAGATGTCTGTATGTCTGCTTTTTGCATGTTTTAACTCAAATTAGTCAGTCTTTCAGAATTCAATGCGAAATGTTCCTAAAACAGAATCACAGTTTTTATAGTACGTTTTAAATTTTCATTTCACAATGTTTGATACTTTGGATGACTGTTTCGCCACTAAAACAGTGGTCTCAAATCAGGACAATGAAGTGAATAAACCTATATAATGCAAAAAAAAATCAAAATCTGTACTGACCTATCCAAGAACAGATTAAAAATGTTCTTAACCCTACAATGGGTGCTGTTTACCGCACATTGTAGGCTGAAGATACGGGAATGTAGCACATAACGTAGAGCTTTGTATCAAATACAAAAAAGGTAAAAGATAAAAACACTTGGCATCATTTGACTAAATGCAAATCTACCACTTATATCAGATCTAAATTTTGTTGCCTGTTTAAATCTTTCAAAGGAATGCAAACAACAATTTTCAAGCTAAAGATAAATCAATAAGGCTTGGAAATGGTAAAATAAAAAGTCGATTACTAGAAAAACATTACTTAGTTATGGTAGTTATGGTTGGAAGATCAAGGTAGTTTAAATAAAACCTTCTAATCTATTTTTATATATTATCCAAAAGAATAGGAATATTCTTATTAATCTATTGAATAGATTAATTTATCAAGAACGTCGAACCAAAAATATGGATGGTTAAACATTCTATATATATATATATATATATGTATATTATATATGCAGACATAAATACATATTATTATAGCTGTTATAGCTTAATAAGTTTCCCATAGATCTTAAGAGTCTCTTATACCCTAATACAATATATGGCAATATTTTTCTTTCATGAGCTGTAGTCGCTCTCGTTTATTTATTATTAACACATAATAAACATAAAGTGAAGACTCTGTAGAAGTGATAAGGGAAAGATAATAGAATTTTATAGCTTTCATTAAACAAAAGCAATGAGTGGCTGCTTTTGTTTGATGCATGGTAGAGCAGCGGAAAGACAGAGACTGTGAAATTTAGCTCTGCTGGTGGTTTGAGTCGATATTGGCCCACTTTTACTAGAGTTTGTTTTTATTTTTTATTTGTTGTGGTAAACACATTTATCGTTATCAGCGTTACACGTGCCTTTGTGGCAGCTCATGAGGAACCCAATCAAAAACAAATTGAGAAAATAATTTTGCTAAATAAGTTTATTGCGTATAAAAAAATTTAATAATAAATAAACAAAAACAACAAAGCGCGCGAAAAATTAAAACTTAAAAAAAAAATTCTTACAAATTTTCAATTGGCAAACTACAAGCACTGGAGGTCATATTAGTTGTTAAGAACCTTTGTTTCATATGCAAAAACAAAATTTAACAGGTTAATTAATGAGTGACGCATAAAAGTTTATAACTTATTTAAACGCACTAAGGATAGCATTGAATTATGGCATAGAATTATATAATATAAAAATTAAATCTAAATCAATATGAAAATAAAACAATATTATATATATGCGAAATACATATAAAGAAAATGTGTTTAAAAATTACTAACATCATAATAAATATTACAACAAAAATTATTTCTTAAAATTATTTTTTACACATATATGAAATCTGATTCACAAAAAATCCGATTTCTTTTTCAACTCTAGAGACTTTGTTTATTATCCGATTAATCAGATTCTTCGAATATTTCGTAAAACTGAATACTATTACGGTTGCGCTCTTCTTGTAAAAAAAACAAATTATATTGAGAGATTTAATATACAGAAAACTTCTGAAATAAATTTGATTTCAAGAAGAATAAAATGGTACAAGAATAACATTTCAAATAATAATTTATTTAACAACGATCTCATTTAAATTTGATTTTAAACAAGAATAATATGGGTGACTACACTCATTATTTAAATTAACATTAATAATTATTTTGTTATTATTACATAATCTATTTTATAAACTTTTCAAGACATATTGAAAATGTAGATGACTCATGCTATCATAGCACACTTAATGCTAGACAAGTTAATTTCGGTTGCAGTAAATAAGCTTGTAGAACCGTGTTAATTTACTTATGCTACACTTAAAAGTGTAGCGCACTTCTCAAGTCCATATGATTTACCATTGAGAATTCGTGTTATTAAAATTCGCACATTTTGCGTAGTTTTTGTTTATTTTAAATTTTTACTGTTTTTGATAACTAAAAGCATTTCAAATATTTGTGTTGATTTTATTAGGAACGAATTTCGAAGTTAATTAAGAATTCAAGCCGAAGTGAACTGTTAAGCGGCGCGTTAATTCTAGTATTTACTAAAGTGATAAGCATAATGAATAGCATTGACTTCATAGTAAAATTTTTAATTGTCATGAGTACACATAATACGGGTATCAGGAAAATATTACGAAATATAGTTTTTTAAGATTTCTATTTAAATTATTTTATAATTCTAAGTTCTAGTGTAATAATAATGCCATGTATCTGGAACAAGTGAATTGTGGCAAATTTACTATATTACACAAATAATATACCATATATTTTTCTTATGCAAATAAAAAAAATTTGAAATTCATAATGCAAAAGTGATTTATTTAATTAGCATTTTCTATCGATAATTGAATTCATTTACACAATAAAATTGAAAAACTTCTGCGCAAATGCACATGGGAAGTTTATTTAAAATATACGTAAGCAACGATACTCTTTATTGTTGATAGTTGATAAGCGGTTCATTGCAAATATTGCTTTTATATTACAAATATCTATATAGTTGACAAATACTATTGAAATACATATATACATCGATAAACATATGCATTTTATGTGCACAAACTATTGACAAAAGTTTTTATGGCAAATAGATATACATATATGAGGATTGACAAGTAGGGCTAGATTTAAATAATTAATGCGCCTTAATCACATTCCATAAGATTTTTTACGGATTGTAGTTGTAGGCGGCTACTACAGTAATTATGTATTAAATAACTAAAATATGGGCGTGACGTGTACTTTACAGTAATTAACACCATTAATATCGTCAAGGTTATCTGCTTTTCAAAATTTTTTGCCTGTACAATTCTGTTCTGATAAGCAGAATTAATGTTGATTCAAGAACTTTTAGCATTGTACTTGGTTATTGGGATTATTCTCTGTGGTATAATTACACAGAAATGATAAGCTGAACTAATAGATATTTCACAATAGTTTTCAAAGTGTAGTACTACAATTAATGGAATATAAGAAATCAAAGGATATTTAGCTAGTTTACAATTGACTTAAACAGCAAAGCTACCTTAATATTGATTTTATTAATTTCATAAACACGTACTGATTGTATTAACAGCTGACTTACCTATGATCAATTTTAGAACTATAGTCATTCTCATAAGGTTGGTTGGTAGCAAAATTTTCTTTTTGTATCACAACACTTTCCACAACTTTAGGCACTTCATTTATCACACCATTATCATGTTGGCCATTATTTGATTCAATAATGGCATCTCTTAGACTAATAACTCGCGAAGCACTACTCAACGTAGCCACAGAATCAACATTCACCACTTCATGAAAATCATTTTTTATTATTTGCCTTTCATTAACGCGATGTGCGATGGTCCCACGGACGTCCACGTCCTTTTGAGGCTTTTTTACAAATGCGTACTCTACAGGAGAATGCACTTTATCCTTTTCGTCCAATGCGCTTAATGATTTTTTCACTTTTTTGTAATTTGGCAATATTTTTTCTTTATACTTTTTATTTTTACTTTTGCTATCTTTGCTTAAATATAAAATAATTTCAGGTGTCCAGCGTGTGGTATTCGATTTTGAAGCCGCAGCTACATACACATCAACATTTTTTGCATTTTCGAATGCAACAACGTAAATTAAGAAAAAACTGCAAAAAAAAAACAACAAAACAAGAATTCATTTCCGTGTTTTTTCATAAATTTCAGTTTACTACTTACCTTGATATTAAAATTATTAAGACTAGATCTAAATACCTAAAGCGCAAATTTTTACGCATATTTTTTATATAAACAAAAACGAATTTATGCTTCTCAACAGAATTTAAACTAACTCCTTTAATTATGTACAAACCGATTGAGCGCTGGAAAATCTAATATATGTTTGTTAATACAAAAAAATTAATATTCTCAAGCTTCATATGTCAAAATAAACTAAGAGTGAGCGATAATTTTAAAGAGAACAGTTTTCTGACGTGTGCTTTGCTTTAAAGATGAAAACCAGAGATGTGTTCAACTAAATTATAATGCGAACAATTTATTCACCATGCTCTCATATTCTTAAAATAGTTTTAATGAAAAGACGTTTTATTTAAAAACTTATCTTGAATAGTCGCAAAAAATATATATTGTGTTTAATGACATGTAAACAATATAATCACAATTATAAGTTAAATGAATTAATGATTCTTTTCTGATAATAATAGAGTTTTGGTTTTGTAGTTAAAGTAACTTCTGTTGCAGTTTTGAAATAAAATAATATCATATTAGGTGAAAGTTAGATCATAGTTTGTATTTTGAAACTGATCTTTTAAAATCTTTTCACCATAGGGGTTATAATTAATGTTTTTACATATACCAATTTTTTTAGCATAATGTTAGAGATAAATCCACACCTGAACACGAAACAATTTTTTATAAAATTTGTGAAGTGCGGCAAAAAACAATGTGTCTCTGGCTAGTCTTTAATTTATAAAACAATAACACTACCCTTTTAATCTAACAAACAAATAACCATTAATGAGGACGATTTACCATACAAAAATCTTTTATATAAATGAGCTCATTTACAATAAACATTTGTAAGACTTGTTTTTGTGAAAACATAATAATTAATAAATTACCACAGTAGGCCTTATTTTTTTAAAGAAAAGAATTTAAAGAAAAGATTTGATTTTAAAACTATGTATACAAAAAGAACAACTGCTTATTTTAAAAATAACATATAAAACAACAACACTGCTGGTTCATTTAGTCCAACCTTTTTGAAACTTAACTAATAAGCAGTTTAGATCGAATGGTTGCCTAGACTAAAAATTCGTCTATTGTGAACAATTTTTGGAAGTACATATGAAGTTTCCAGTTAACTGTCAAAGAATAATTTCGTTAATTGTTCGTGGTTCGTGTCGTCATTGTTCGTAACAAATATGTAATTTTTTCTACTTATTATTTAGAAAAATTATACTTTATTCACAATCAAGTAAAAAAAATATTCTCACCAATAATTACAAACAATTATTACTCATTTTTGTAAAATAAAAATTTCCGTGTTTTATTTTAAAATTTCCAACATTTTCGTTATTCCTTTTAATTCTGTATTCATTTTAATTTTCAATTTATATTTCTTATTTATTTTTGTACAAAATAAAATTTATGTGCACATATGCAAGATTAGCTATTTGCCAAAACATAATACATAACAGATTGCTATAGTGATGCTAATGTCTCGCTTAGCGAATATAGGCCAGAATATAGGCCAAACAAAACTAAATAGTTTCACAAATTTGAAAATTGTGAAAAATAAATATTTTAAAAAATATGCAAAATTGTGATTTTAAAACTATGAATACAAAAATTTTTTGGAGTTGGTAACAACTATATATTTATTAAGGCAATAAATATTCTGAACTATTATTAATTTTGTTGTAAAAGAAAAATTTCAAAATTTCATGCATTCTACATTACTTTTAGGTCATTACATATTTTAATTTTTTAGTTTTAGCTTTATTATTTATTTTTGTACAAAATGTAATTTGCTTGCATTATTTGCACATATGCAAGATTTGCTATTTGCTAAAACATAACATAAGCATAAGATAAATGCTTACCATTCTAATATTCATTTTGTTTTCTTGTATTTAAATTAATTAATTTTTAGTGTTTACAATTTTTATATTTCGTATTGTATGTACACAGCACAACAAAAAATATATGAAGTGTTAGAAGTGTTGCTAATTTCTTTTAAACAGACTTAATGCTGTTTTCTTATAATTCTGAAAAACAATATTATGGCTAATATGAAGTTCTATGCATAACTATTCTGAAGGTCATTGATTATTTAAACTTGCAAAAATGTTATAGCAACTCTGTTCTTGCGATGCACAGTTTTCTTATTGCTCTCTCATTATATAAACGTCAGCTGCCAAAATTTTTGTTTTTACCATTTTTTATATTGAGAAGTGCCGCTAGATTTTTGAAAACACACTAGTTCGAACCGTTGTTTTATGTTTTTTAAAAAAATATGGAAAATAGAAAAACTTTAATTCATTGGTTTCGAAAAGGTTTACGTGTACATGATAATCCAGGCCTTACTCGAGTATTTGAACAAGCAAATTCAGATGTAAACAAATATGAAGTGCGGCCCATTTTTATACTTGATCCTGGTATTGTCCAGTGGTTAAAAGTGGGTGCAAATCGTTGGAGATTTTTACAACAATCACTGGCTGATTTACATAATCAATTAGTGGCATTAAAATCACGCCTTTATGTAGTGCGTGGTAAGCCCAATGAAGTATTTGAACGAATCTTTAAGGAATGGCAAACTGAATTGCTAACTTTTGAAACTGACATTGAACCTTACTCTGTAAAACGCGATGCAGAAGTTGTAAAATTAGCTCATCAATTAGGTGTACAAGTCGATACACATTGCTCACATACCATTTACAATCCAGAAACTGTAATTAAAAAAAATTTAGGTACTGCGCCTTTAACATATCAAAAGTTTTTAAGTATTGTTGAGAAACTGAAAACACCAATGCCACTACCCACGCCGGTAGCATTAACGGAACTAGTAATACCACAGCAAGATAAGTGGGAGCAGAAAGATGAAAAATGTTATGATTACCCAAGCATGGAAGAGCTTGTTAAACATCCAGAGGAATTAGGCGAAAATAAATTTCTGGGAGGCAAGTTAAGTGACTGTTTTTGGTTGATTTTATATATTTAATGATAATTTGCTTTGTAGGGGAAACTGAAGGTTTGAGACGTTTAGAGCAGTCCTTAAGTAATGAAACATGGGTAATAAATTTTGAGAAACCAAATACAGCACCAAACTCATTAGAACCTAGTACTACAGTACTTAGTCCATATTTAAAATTTGGCTGCTTGAGCTCACGATTATTTTATCAACGTCTAACAGATATTTTGAAAAAACACCCAAACCACTCAAAACCGCCAGTTTCATTAAAAGGTCAATTAATGTGGCGCGAATTTTTCTACACAGCAGCTACAGATGAACCAGATTTCGATCGTATGTTTGGCAACAAATATTGTATTCAAATACCGTGGGAAATGAATGATGTATATTTGGATGCTTGGACGCATGCACGAACAGGCTATCCATTTATTGATGCTATAATGCGTCAACTAAGACAAGAAGGTTGGATACATCATCTGGCAAGACATGCTGTTGCTTGTTTTCTAACACGCGGAGATTTGTGGATATCGTGGCAGTCTGGACTAAGAGTATTTGAAGAACTTCTTCTAGATCACGATTGGGCATTAAATGCTGGTAATTGGCTGTGGCTTTCAGCCTCAGCTTTCTTTCATAGCTATTTCAGAGTATATAGTCCTGTAGCTTTTGGTAAGAAGACCGATCCCACTGGTAATTATATTAGAAAATATGTGCCTGAATTAGCTAAATATCCAAATAATTTTATCTATGAACCATGGAAAGCATCACTTTCTGCACAAAAGGAATATGGTTGCGTGTTAGGTGAAGACTATCCACATCGCATTGTTGTGCACGAAGCAGTGTATAAAATAAATGTGCAACGCATGACCGCAGCTTATAAGGTTAACCGAGAAGTGTGCACAGGAAAGTTTGAAAAGGAAGAAAAGAAAAGCACAGCTAAGCGTAGAATGAAGGACAGTGAAAAATCTTTAAGTGAAAATAAAAAATCTCGTAACTGATATACTAAGAATTCAAACTAAATTCTTGTAATTTTTATAATAGACAAAGAATTTCCAAATATAACATTGGTTTGTTTTTTATAAAACTTTTGTAAATTTTAGTTTAAGAATTTAACGGTAAATATTATTGTTAACGTAATGTGCGGCCGCAATTTCATTTTAAAAATTCAGCTGAACATATTTTGATATAGTAGAGAGTATGAATCAAAATATAAAGTTAAGTAGCGTTGAGTGTATATCAACCTGTAGATGAGTAGCGAGGTCCACTACATCGAACGTTTCAGTTTAGCAATGTCAGCATGTTCATATGGTCGCTTGAGGTCTTACGTGTGTGGTATTCATCGTACTGATTTCATTGACTACTATGGGACTGCTATATTTTTTCTAGAATCAAATTTTAAGTTAACAAGTGTCAGAAGAATTCAAGCACTTTTACTACTGCCAAAGCAGAAAATTAGGTTGGTGAAACTTGGGCTCTGGGAAACCTGACTTGAGAAGTCAGGCTAATCGTTACCAATTTTTTGTACATCAACAATTATAATCCACATGGACCAGTTGGTCCATGCTCTTAATGAGATATTTAATTTTTTTTATCGAAAGTATTTATTAGATTCTATTACTATTATTATTTCCTGAGTGTATTTACAATGTATTTATCTACAATACATTGGGTAAAGACACCGCTCTTAGTAAGAGCATAAGGCGAATATTATATTCCAGACAGATTTTATATAAACTGTCGGTAAAATAAGGTAAATCTATTATTTTAAAGAATTCTAAACTGTTTTATTATATATATAAGGAATCCAGAGAACCCCCTTTTTCAAGAGGCTTATTTTTAAGTCATAAACAATTCATGAAGTATTTCAATCTGTACTTACTACTTTTACACCAATTTTAACTTAAGTTCTGATATATTTAAATGGTTTTTTAGCCAACTTGTACAAACATTTATAGTTGGTGGTAACATAAACATCAATTTAGTATTTATTTTTTGTTTTAATTTTTGAGTCGTTACTTCGAAAATGTTTAAATACGGTTATTTTTTGTTTTTTAAAAATATACTAACTTTTATTTCGAAAGTTTTTTTGTGTATCTCTATATTAGGAATTCCTAATATTAGGAATTCTCCTGATGAAGGCAAAAGCGAATTTGCCGAAACATGTGTAGAGATACACAAAAAAACTTTCGAAATAAAAGTTAGTATATTTTTAAAAAACAAAAAATAACCGCATCAATTTAGTAAATTTTTGAATAACACTAGATCTTGATTTTTATAGTATATTCTGATGAACATTAAAATTATTTGAAAATAACATAATGTAGACATAAACTGTAATCATTCTGATCATGTACTTGTTTTCTGTAGTACCTCTGCTACATGTCAACCTAAAAATATATAATTACAATGTACAACAGTTATACTTGCTTCGGGCATTCATTTCAATGAGGCTATTGAATTGAATTTTCAGTTTGCTATTATAAACTGTTATATGTAATAAAAAAGTAAATTCCAAACAGTGAATTGAATATCTAATATTTAGTAACATATTGTGGCTTGAACTATTTACAATATTCATTTTAGAAATGTGAGATACAAAGGAAGTTGAGGTGGCGTTGTGAACAGTTGATACATCCTCAATTATTACCAAAGTTAAATTAAGAGTAATTAGTAAAGTTATATTCAATAGCATTGTTTATTTGTCACACTCACACAGGTGTGATTTGTTTTGTTTGTTGCTAACAATTTCATACATAAAGAAATAAGCATCCGATACGTAAAGAAAGTCAACCAACGGGTCACTGAAACATATCTAGAATGGCTATGTAACCAAACTAATTTTCTTGCTATTTGTTCATTAAACTTTATATATGAAAATGAGAGCATTGTAAAAATCGGGTGTATATTCGGGTATTCGGGTATAATTCTATGGAAAAGCCAAAATGGATATTATATCTCGCCTGACTTCATCTGGATACTACATTCAAAATGTCGGTATATAATCTATGAAGTGATTGATCTATTTTTTATTTGTTGTTTACAACTATTGTAGTAATTTTGTGTGTGCTGTGAAGACCAAACTACTGTTACAAAAAATTTTAACAAACAATAAATATTAAGAATTAATTAAATTAAGTATGACTATGGTATATATAGTATGTCATACTTACTATAATATATAATGGAGTTAAGGTCTAGTAATGTCATTAAGTCGGGAATTGTCGAATACTGACAACAACAACGAAACAATATATTAGTGAATATATATGAGAGTATAGTTATAATTTTTTATCTACAAATGAGTTACTATCTCATATCTCAAATAATAATAAAAATTGAAACAAAAAAATAAAGAATAACTTTTATTAAAATTTTGCAACTAAAATATACTGTTGAATTTTGCAAATTTGAAATGTTGCCGCACTAATTTTGATTAATATGTCGTCGATAGGTCCATTCATTTCGTTTAATGCACTACACCACCAAACATGCAAGAGTTACGAAACAGAATATAATTAGGTTTAAAAAAAATTCAGAAAGTGTGGTTGTATTGAAGCTGTGGTAATATAATTTTCTTACCGAGTTTTTGTATACGTATATTGGTTTACTTTTTAGGATCAGAATTGATAGGGTTCAGAGGTAGATAACGCCAAATTTCTTCAGTTCGAAAAAATTGTAAAAATAATTATGGAATTACTATTTATATTTGTTTATATTTTTCCTTACTCTCAACTTTCCAGACACGAAATAGCCATGAAGGTCTTTGATTTTCAAGAAAGATACCAGTTATGGTTGCTGGACGCAAACCATTAAATAAGACAACTTTAGAAAAGTGTTCCTCCACTTGACCTTCCTTTCGGATTTCACCTTTCACGCTAACTTCTGGTACTTCTTTAAGTGTTTGTTTGATATCGGATGATGATGCAGTAAAGTTCTCTGTTTGTTGAGTTTGGGGCTGACTCGTTAACTTACTGCCCTGAACTCTAAGGGTACGAGTAAGAAAAATTTTGAGAGCCTGCCTTGAAGTGGACAACATTTTTAATTTTATTTTCAAAAATTCCAAAAGTTGTCTATCTGCAATGACTATTTTGTAAATTGAAAAATGTGTACATATTTTATATAAAGTGAAATAAAAACTACTTCTCAATTAAAATAACTCTTGATGTCAACGCTAACTGGATCACAGTTTATTTTGGATATGTCAAAAATATAAAAAAATTGTTTTTTACTATTTGCTTTAGCCCACAATTTCTGTAAAATTTAGATTTTTTATATTATGATATATTTACGCACTGATTATGTATTGAAGTGTATAAAGGAACAGAGGCAACCATCAATATCTTACTGAAAATTAAAATACAGTTAGGATAAAACTTTTTAAGTTGCAAAAAATCTCGTTATCATTTGAAAATACTCGAACTCACAAAAGGCCCACAGTATTCAGCGTAGGAAGATATCATAGCAAAATGGGGAATCTCTATACTTATCTTATCATCTCATTGGAATAGAATCACAGAGCAATTGAATTGGTAGACATTATCATACGACACAGATCATGGAAGTAACTATTTAGAAATTGGCTGTAGCATGAACTTAGTTAATCCACTGTTTAAATTTGACAGAGTTCAATTTCTAACAGTTGTTGTCCTAAAAATTATATGCGAACAACTAACCAATAGATAGATGTTTACCAGGATCATTGACAATGAATTTTTGGCAGTATCTAAAACAGTTGTACGGTCAGCCCAATAATTCAAAAAGCAAATATGTAATACTTTTTTTGTCGATAGCGACAACCTTTTTTTAAAGTGTTCCAAATTAAACTTGTTGCATTCTTATGTTTCTCTGATATGTATCTAATATGTACCTTTCCACAGAAAATAATAGTTTTTCTTATGTTACCATTAAAAATTTGAAGCCAACTTATTTTAACATCATTCACTGTGTTTTTATCTGTTTTAATGGCTTTAGCGTATGTAAATAGCGTCCTTGTTAATTCATTGGCCACTGATAGTGTTTATGGTCCAATACATGGAACACTTTTGGCATTTCAAACAGTTTACTTTAGCACCACCACATTGACCCCTATACTCCTTCCATTCTAACCCCTGGATTACCTACCTTCTATGCTCCCTGCATCTTATTTCGTTCTTAGTTATTTTTTATTAGCAATTTTTTACACCCTCTACACAAAGGCGGAACAAAGCATATTAAGTTTATCATTATGTTTGTGAAGTAACGAATGTTTTTATGCATTTCTTTACTAACTTAATTATTTTTGCACAAAACCATCATTTGATTTAATTGATATATGAGAGCGGTTAAGTGTTCTGAGAATAAAATGTTGCACATTTTTCGCTTAAGGTGATATCGAATTATATCGTTCAGATGCTAGCACTTCTTTCAAAAAAAAAATTAACAATGGTTCATGATAGTTACAGTCAAACGGATAGCCAAACGGATAGCTGAATTGAAAGACTACATCATACATATATAATGCATATATTCATTTATAATGGATCGTTACTGTTTTATAAAATGAACATTTTTTAAATTAGTGAAATTATATTAAAGTCCACTGAAGCAAATTTCTGGCTACAAGTCTGTTTACAGGTACATTTATTAGATTCCTTTAAAATTTAATCAATGGGTTTAGGTATTATTATACAAAGTTGTTATTTTATATACTATAGCTTATATATTTATATTTACAAAATTTGGATGTAATTTATTAAGGTTTTATCAATAAATAGGATGAAAAATTAATTTATTTGTTTTAGAAATAAATATGGTAGCAATCTAAGCTCAGGAAAATAATGCACTAGTTATCTGCATAACGACACGTCATTTTTACCTTAAATTGGAGTATATCTCTAACAATTTTATTAAATAACATTCCCATACCACAAGCAGATAATGTAATACGCTTAGATATTCACCTAAACAGGCGACTAACCTCTAAGCCTCTAACTGTGCCTAGAGTATAAAGTACTCTTGTATAACACTACCATGAAAGCAATATGGACTTATGGTATCCAGCTATTTGGTAATGCTAATGCTTCAAATATTAAAATTATTTAAAGAGCTCAGTCAAAAATACTGAGAACAAGCACTGGTGCCCCATGGTATATTAGGAGTGAAAGTACCCACCGAGATCTTCAAATTCACTTATTTAAAGTTAAATTTGACAACATAAGAAATAAATACAATAAAAGGCTGCTAGAACATGTGAACCCTTTAGCAAAGAATTTCGTACTTCCATCCATTACCTCCCGCCTAAAAAAAGCTGACCGTCCAGCCATTAAATAAAATTCAATAGCTTCAAATAAAAACCGCACTCTTCTTCATTGTAATCTGATAAAGTTTAACTGCTTTCTAAATAAACCACCTAACATTCACCCAAATGAAATTTAACCCATTGATTTAAGTGAGGTCCACGATATAAGGTTTACTTGTTTTATTTCATATTATAACATACAAGGTATAGTTAAAACAAAAATTATAATAATATGTAATTAGAGATAAGATTTTAAAACTTGTTATTAGGCTCAGTAGTCTAGCAGAAGATACAATAAATGTATAAGTATTCAAAAAAAAAATCTTTTCCATTCCATACGAAAGATTTATACTACAAAGTGGACAAAATTGATTGCTTTAACAGCAATGTGCTCCTGTGTGTCAGACAGATGGGCATTAAAAGCATTTTTTAAGCCTATATAGTCGCCACATTCCATTGCCTTCGTCAACCCATTTTTTTATTGTCTGAACACAGCGACTTTTATTACGTGTTTACGAAGGATCATCTTTAGCAACTTGAACCTAAATAGCAATTTGGTTAATAGGCACGTTAATTTTATCACATCTTAGAAAAGGAAGAAAACTGGTAATATAACTAAATTTCAGATATAGCAACATTTTTAGTACTTAATTACCAAGTATAAACTCGTCTGTGTCTGAAGTGAGCCACAATTAGACAAACTTATGACTTGATTAATTTATTCAATTGCCCGACCACGATTTCAAACCTGAGCCAAATTGATTTCAACTAAGTAAATATAAAAAAATTGATAGTTTTTAATAGGGGTAAGACTTTATTCTGTTGAGTATTTATCAACATCTGACTCTTCACTGACATTTCTCATTGATCTACACATTGCTGAATTATCGAAACTTAAGTAAGTGTAAGGCGATATAACAAACTCTTCTTATTTCTTTTTTCAAAGAAATACATGCTCCATTCTATTCGAAGCATATATGCAACTATACTTCTATCCAAATGTGTTGCAAGCATTGCGAAAATAGTTTTCAAAACAAAGTTGATATGCGCCTAAAAGTATTCAAGTGATCTATAAATATTCGATTTTCCAAAGTATGAGTTACAAGTGATATTAAATACGTTCATCTGTATTGTATATATATAACGCATCAGTCAATAAGACGTGTCAAAAATCGACTTTACTCATCAATATAATCTAGTTCAAGGGCAATACAATTATTCCAACGCTTCTCTAACTTCTCGATGCCGTGCTTCTGGAAGAATTTGTCTTTTACCTCAAAATAGGCTTCAGTTGCAACAACTACTTCTTTATTTGAGATGAATTTCTTACCGGCAAGCATTTTTTGAGATCAGCGATCTGGGGGCCAGATCTAGACTATACGGTGGATGAGGAAACAATTTGAAGTGTTATTGTGCATTGTGACATTGTGCATTGTCTTGATGAAACAAAATTTTTTTCTTTGCCATATGCGGTCGTTTTTTCACAATTTCTGCTTTCAAACGATTCAGTAGTTACTATTGATGATTTTTCTCTTCTCGAGATAGTCAATGAAGATTATACCATGTGCAACCCAAAATTCTGAAGCCATGACCTTCCCAGCTGACTGTTGTGCCTTTGGACGCTTCGAACGTGGTTCATCGGCTGCAGTCCACTCAGATGATAATCGTTTTGATTCCGGAGTGAAGTGATGGATCCATGTTTCATCCATTGTCACACATCGACGCAAAAAATATGATTTATTACGTGTTAACATGGTCAAACACTGCTCTGAATCATCAACACGTTGTTGTTTTTTATCGACTGTGAGTAAACGCGGAATCCACTTTGAAAAGAGCTTTCTCATGGTCAAATCTTTATGCATAATTGTAAACACACTGCCTTTTAATATCTTTACGGTCTCAGCTAGCTCATACAATTTCAATTTACGATCTACGATCAGATATAGCCAATTTCTGGAATTTTTTGATGTTTTCTGGAGTAACCACCTCTTTTGGACGACTAGAACGTTCACTATCATCGGTGTCTGGACGACTACGTTTAAATTCAGCAAACCAATAACAAATGGTTCTTTTCGATGAAGCAGAGTCCGGATAACTCTTTTAAAGCCATTGCTGAGCTTGTACAGTATTTTTTTTTCATCAAGAAGCAATGATAAATGAACACACGAAATTGTTTTGAACCCATTGTTTTGAAAATAACAAAAGTAGCTTCACTTAAACGGCTGTCACTTTTTCCTGACTAATCGAAATGTCATGAAATTTTACAATGGTCTTTTGAAGGTTGGTACTTCATAAAAGTCATATAGATTTGACAATGACAGCGCCATCTGTGTGTCAGTCGTACGACTTATTGACTGATGTATTATATATACAGACGAATAACAAAATAGGGGAAATATCATTTGTAACTCATGCTACTTACATGAATATATATATATTCTATGCAAAAAACATTTTGAGTTATTAAATAAAATACAAAACCATCAATTAATCGAAGATAATACAACGGTGCCACTGTTTCAACCAATCTTACATATGCATATAACTACTATATAATTATTCTTTATGTATCTACACACAATTCTCTAACAAACAAAAAAAAATAACTCTATTTTATATATATAAAAGTGTTATTCTCTGGTAAGATCCACAAATATCCACAAATGAATTGCTTAATCACAACAAATAAACAAATATATAATATTGGTTGAAACTGCTAGTTCAAAAGAATATATTTCTATTATTAGTTTAAAACCACAGTTTTCAAATAGATATGTGTAAAGGGTATTGAGGCTTTGGCGAAATCTTGTACGAATTTATTATATTTTTTTATA